ACAATCTCTAGAAGAGCTCTCAGGCCAAAAGAATTCAGCCCACAGTTAGGAATCATTAGCTAAGAGCTGGTCTCTGCACGGAGACAGCCAGCCACTATATGCCAGAGCAGTTAAAAAAAAATCATGCCCAGCGATGCCTGTGTATTTAGAGGCTTGTTTGCTTCTGTGTGCTGAATTCCCCCCAAGCAAATAGAAAACATTGTCCCTTTATGTACAAATCAGCTCTAACGTATTTTTTATAAACTCTGCAAATGTACACAGATTAAAATGACTTGATTACAAGTATCTCTGGCACTTTAATTTCAAGTCAGCCAGTTGCTACTGTAGCAATTTTCTTGGAAATAAAACAGTAGCTTCCCAAAAAACACTGGGTAAGGCATGATCTCAACACCGATCATGGACCAAGACTGTCCAAAGCAAAGTGAACAATGGGGCCAAGTGGCAGGCAGTTAGCTGCTGCTGTACAACAGAACATCCCAAAACCCACCGCTTTAGATCAATCGCCATTGACTATTTCTCATGAGTCTATGAGTCAGCTGGGGAAGCAGGCTGGGGTGTGCTGACCTGAGCCAGGCTCGGTTGAGCTGGGATTGTTTGTACCTCCGTGGTCAGCCTGCAGCTGTCTGGTCTGCAGTGGTGCTGCTCCATGTGGCCTCTCATCCTCCAGCAAGCTAGCCTGGGTTTATTTTCATGGCAAAGCCAGGGCTCTAAAAGAGACCCTGGAAAGGCATATAACACTTTCCATGCCTCTGACTGAATCAAGTTTGCTCCTACCCCATTGGCCAAAGCAAGTTGTGAGGTGAAGCCCTGAGTCAGCCTGAAAGGGTTCCACAAAAGGGCACGGTTTGGGGAGGGGATTTTTAAATGTCTACCACTAGTAGTTACTCAGGTATTTTGCTGCAGCATGTATGTTGCCAAGACAGTGGTTTCCAAGTTTTCCCTAGTCTGAAAAACCCGTTTATATGGATCTCCATGCCCCAAGCCAGCCTGACTGAGGGTGGATGGCAGCACCTGTGAAAACTGGCCTGGCTGGGTCTGATCCTACTGCTCCCAGCATGGGAGCTGCTCCACCTTGCAGTGTTTCCTTAGTTGCTAAACTCCACAGGGAAGAAGAAATCCAGACACCAATGCATAGCCCTGAGCTGCCATGCATTCACTGCCCAAATTTAAAGTGCAGGTCCCTTGTTGGGCCAAAAATAGAAGTCTTTCCAATCAAGTTGATCTTCCGATAGTGTTTTCCAAGGTATTCTAACCAGTAGGCTGAGATACTTTCAGCTAGAGATTTCAGCGTTAGAATGAGCTGAACTGCCCAAATGAGGTAGCAATAAATTACTGCTCAGGCCAGTCAAGGAGGAAGAGTGCTGAGAAGCAACTGAGAAGACATTTGCAGAACGAGGAGCGGGACAGCTGTTTGAGGACACGCTCCTGGAATAGCATCCTCAGAGTGGACAGAGGAAAGCCACGTGGCTCAAGAAGATTCAAGAAGTCGTGGAAAATATCTGGCCAAGGAAGGGGTCACCGGGACTGGTTTTGAGAGACTGGGAGAACCCCTAAGAAGGTGAGAAGATGCCCAGCCTGGAGGTGAATGGGAAGAAAGGCAAGCCCAAGAGAGCAGGAGCCTGGAGTGGATAGTGGAGAGTGGTGTTGGGAAGGAGGGGAGAGGCTGAGCAACGTTGGCAAAGGAGAAGAGCAGGAATGGCTTTTGCAGAACAGATGCTGGCAGGAAGCAGGTGGAGATTTAGAGATGAGAAGCGGGACAGAAACCGACCCCCAACCGCCACAGTGCCCTGCCCCTTGCCTTCGCCAGTCATCTCCATTTACTAAACCCCACTTCCTACCATGCACCCATCCAGCACAGGACATTCACTCTCATTTAACTGTCACATCCCACAGGTTGCGTCTCCTCTTTCCATTTCACAGGCACAAACAGAACCATAAAAAGGTCAAGTAACTTACCAGAGGTCACCAAGATATAAAATAGCAAAAATAAGATTTCAAAACAGCTTGTCTGTAATGCAACATGCACTTTTCACCACTGTCTTATTTTCATAGAGCTGCTGTAACGAAGGACCACAAACTGGGCACCTTAAGCAGGAATGCATTTTCTCCCAGTTCTGGAGGCTGGAAGTCCAAGATGGAGGCGTCAACAGGGTTGGTTCCTTCAGTGAGGGCTGTGAAGAAGGGTCTATTCCAGGCCTCTCCCCTTGGCTTGCAGATGGCTGTCTTCTCCCTGTTTCTCTTCACGTCATCTTTCTTCTGTGCGAGTCTCTCAGTGTCCAGATTTCCCCTTGTTTTAAGGACATCAGTCATATCGGATTAGGGCCAACCCTACTGTGCTCAGCTTAACTAGTGACATCTGCAAAGATTCTATTTCCAAATGATGTCACATTCTGAGGGACTGGGGGCTAAGGACTTCAACGTATGAATTTGGAAAGTGGGAAACAATTCGACTCATAACAGCATGGCCCTGAGGACAAGATGGCACAGCAGAAAGAACATGTGACTAGCTTATTGAACCTGAGGAAGCAAGTGCTCCTTCTGCATTTTCTCATCCATAAAATGGGCTAATGTCCCCTGGCTTGTGCAGTCACTATAAGGAAAGAATGAGTTAGACATCCATCTCTGGCATGGATACCCATTGCTTTTCCCTTCCATATCCCCAACCGCAGGTGTGGCTGATACTACAAAGGAAAGAGGGTGAGGTTGCAGCCCCTGCAAGTCCTTTGGCTCTGTTTTCACCTGGCATCTCCTTTACAGATGTGGGGAACACCAGGGAAGGCCCTGTGGGTGGCACCATCAGATGCAAGCCCTGCAGCCCCAGTGCCAACAAGAAACGCATGGCCTGAGTGCTCTTTTTTGCCCCAAACCACCAAAGTGCCTCTGAATGAACACAGGATATGGACCTGGTCTAGGCAGCTGCAGTTGGTGCTGCAGGAGCTGAGCAAGGTAGGGCTGAGGGAAGGCCAGGCAGCCTCAGCAGAGCCTGGGGAGCAGCCGCACCCATCCAGCTAAAACAGCAAAACATACTCCACTCCTCTTCTAGGGGAAGGAAGATAATCCACCAAAGTAAGAAAACACCTCCTGATCCCGCTCCTCAGTACATCCTGGGCCATGTCCAGGGGTAAGCTCCCTGCCCAGAGGCCTTGGCAGTCCTGGCCACACTGCTGTGCACGGGTCACATTCTCAGACAGAAACACCCCTGCTCCCCTCTGGCATTACCCCACTCTTCCCCAGAGGGCCACCGGAGGGGTCTTCAGCTCTTAAGGCTATAGGAGCCTCCACAGGGCACAGTTTCAGAACTTCCCTACTTGTCACCCCATCAATCTAAGGAACACAGAAGGCCCTGATGACAAAGATGCAAGATACTGCTGTTCTTATTCATAGGAGTAAGAAAAATGGGAACAGCAGTTCCTATTAGCCAAGCCCTCCCCACATACTGGGTGCGCTGCTTCTATTAGGTCATTTCAACCCCAAACTTCTCAGGATCGTTTTATTTTTAGGAGGCTGGAACAGAATCATGGGGGTGACTGATCTTGCCCAAGGTCACACAGATAGCCAAACTTGGTGGTGATTTCTTTAAGTGGGGGTAAAAGCACTTTGAGGGGAATGGCAGGTTGGGTGCATCTCACTGTTAACAATAAGAATCTCCGGCAAGCAAACAAATCAATCAAGACCTGGTGCGGGGAGTTTTAGTTTTAATGGCCCCTGGGGATAGACCAATTAGGAATCTGCCCGGAAGCCCCTCCCAACACTAACCTGAGCCTGCTCTAGCTGCCCACAGGTTTGCCTTTGCCTGCAGAGGGGCCTCACAGAAGTGGAACATGCCAGCAACCTCTTCTCACGAGTCAAGTTCCCTTCTACATCCCAAGCAACGAGTCGGGGCAGCAACGACAACTCAGAAAACAGGCTCCTGGAGGTTATGCTGCCCCAGCCCCAGGCAAAGCCAGCCCCTGCCCAGGCCTCAGGCCCGCTTGTGGTAGGGCGGCCCTGGGCTCCTCTGCGGTCTCAATGCTCTTCACTGGGCGCAGGATTATTTTAAATTATGTTGCATCGAAATTGTTCTTATTTTCCTTTATAATATGGATACTTTTCAAGAAGCACATTTCCCCATACACATACGACTCCCAAACTCCACATCCTCACGTCATCCACGTGAGGTGACTTCCAAGATGTTAACTGGCAAGCTCTTGAGTCAGTTCATCTGCGGATGAGGCAACAGACACATCTGTCCTTTGATAAATGCTTGAGAGAAGTCCGACAGGTCCGGGAACCTCCTATGGGGATGCGTGGAAAGACATGCCTGGCCCCAAAGCAGCCTCTGGGGCATGGGGCTGGCTTCAGAATCTTGGGGCCACTAAAACTAAGCCCCACGTTCCAAGGGAAGTCCCCTCTTCCTCAAGAGGTTGTTGCACCCCATGGCTTGGAGGTGGAGGAGAATGAGGAAGCGTCAGAGCAAGGCCTGCCCATGCTGGGGGTGGCCATCAGCACGGGGTAGGGCAGGGTCAAGGGTGAAGGCTCCTCCGGGAAGGTCTGCTCTGCCTCCCTCTCCTCCCTCAACACTGAAATTAATCCAGATGGAGATTAGCAAGGAGGCCTGGAAGGCAGAGGCATGCTGGGAGGTGTGGGGTAAGGGTGTGCAATGGTGCTGGTAGGAGGGCTGGTCCCAGGGCACTGAGACAGCTCACACCAACCACCCAGGGCCAAAGCCCCAGCCCTGCTCCAGGTCCTGCAGGCACCAGGGTAGTGCAGCCACTGGAGTGGCCTGTGCAGCCACTGGAGGAGATGTGAATGCCCTTCCAGGATTGCACACATCAGAGGCTGCCGCTGCCCCCGGGAACACGCCTCACTGCGAATACTTCAGGCTCCCCACTAACAGATTCCACCTGTGAGCACGCCAACAGCAGAGAGAGACGAGTCCCATCGCAGGCTGCCAATTCATAAATCAAGACAGGGCAATGACTTCCACAACCACTTCCCCACATTAGGACAGACAAATCAAATAGTAAATTACAGTTTATTTCATTTACAGAGACCTTGAGGCAAAAAGGTGGTGTTTGGAAAAGAGCACACGGGTGAGGAGCACCGAGAAGCCTGTTACAAATACGCCAGTGCACGTCGCCAGTGCAGTGACGTGGGGTCCTGCAGGTGGCCGTCTAGGAAGAGTAGGCTGGAGAAGCACGTCTCTCTGCCTCCCTCTGGCTTGGGACCATCTCCCCCGCACCAGCAGCAGCCTCTCGCAGCCAGGCCGCCGGAGCCAGGCATGCGCTCTGCAGACCTATCGCTGTGAGCAGCACAGTTCCCTTTAACATCGCAGCAGCAGGTGCTCGGGGAGGAGAGGGAGCCAGGGTGGCTCTGGTGATGTGACTGCCAGTGGGGGCGACACGGGTGGCAGAAGGCTGCCCTCCCTCTCATTCTATATGCTGGATAATTAAAACTCACAAGTCCCGATACTTGACAAATGAAAAGTCCATTCTGCGAATCCTGACATTCCCCCTCCTGATCCACAATCACAGTTCAGTGCGGTGCGTTCCCATCCCCGCCCACCCCCCACCCCCAAGGCTGATTGTGATGATGGTAACTCCCAAGTGTGGAGGTACCTGTGGGTGCAGCCCAGAGCCTCGGAGGAGGAAGGTGGCTCTCTGCCCCCAGGCAGTTCCCTAGGTGCCAGGGTCAGCAGGGGCTCTGCGTCCAGGAGCTACAGCAGCTTGACGTAATTCTGTGGAATCAGCCCCCTCTTGCCGTTCAGAGTCCCCTCTAGCCAGCCAGGCTCCCTGGAGGTTTGTACTGAAAAGGAAGAGAAAAATCACCTTAACAAAATGCCCCCAAGTACTTGCCTCCTGGGTGTTCACTTAAAAGCTCAACCAGGGAGTGGCCAGTAGAGAACAGGGGCCACTTCTGGGATGCTGGGTCACAAAGTCTGCACCAGGGTCACTGACAGGCTCTGCCTCCCTGCACTGGCCATGACAATCCTCATCTACGCGGTCCCAAAGCAGCCTCCTAACCAGTGTCCCGGTTTCCAGTCCGGTCCCTTCCAACCCACTCTGCACAAAGATGCTCAGTGAACTATCTAGAATACAGAGCTGATCACATCCCTCCCCTGCTTAAAGTCAAACTCAAGCTTTTTGCGTTTTTGTTTTGGTTTTTTCTTCCTGAAAGGGAGTCTCGCTCTATGGCCCAGGCTGGAGTGCAGTGGTGCTATCTCGGCTCACGGCAACCTCTGCCTCCCGGGTTCAAGCAATTCTCCCGCCTCAGCCTCCCGAGTAGCTGGGATTACAGGTAAGCATCACCATGCCTGGCTAATTTTTGTATTTTTAGTAGAGATGGGGTTTCACCACATTGGCCAGCCTGGTCTTAAACTACTGACCTCGGCTGATCCACTTGCCTTGGTCCCCAAAAGTGCTGGGATTACAGGTGTGAGCCACCGCTCCCAGCCTCAAACTCAAGCTTCTTACTGGTCTGTAACACAGGCCCCTTGGCACCTGGCTCCGGTCGCCCCTACAGGAGCCCTTCACACTCCACTGGCACATCATGCATGTCAACTGCAGTGAATCATCCAGAGAAATCCCAACTGCAACTCCAGGCCTTTGCAAGTGCAGTGCCTTCTGCCTGGAATGCCTTTCCCCCACCTCTTCACCGGGTAATTCCTCCTGTTTAGAGACCTGATTGGATGCCTCCTCCTCTGACAGTCTGGTCTGACTCCCACACTGGATGGGGAACTCCTGAAGGCAGCCGGAGCCTTATACATCTGGGCACGGTGCCTGGCACAATGGACTGTTCATAAATATTCACGTGATACTTAACGAGGAAACTGCAGCCTGGAGAGCAAAGGGCACAGGTCCAAGCACTCCTCACCAGGGTTCGGAAATGCAATGCAGAAGCATTTCATAACTCCCAGCTGTGGGCAGGCCCCAGCTCAAACCCCCAACCATGGTCAGGTGCAGGCATGGCAGCCGTGGCGTAAAGGAAAGGGGAGGCATGGGCTACTCCAGCAGACCAACTCGAAAGATGACTTCCGATCACAACCCAGGAGAATAATTTCATATCAAAAACCAAGTACAGGCATACACGTCCATAACACACACAAGTTTCATGAAGCAACACTCTTACCCTCACTGTGCACACGCAATGCCTTCCTTTCTGTATTCTATTATTTTTTTCCCCATGGATTTGTGTAGAAAAGTATTATTCTTTGAATGCTAATTGCAACTCAGCGAATTGAGTTCACGGTCCTCTAAGGTATAGCTGCCCACAGTTTGGAAGACACTGACAATCCAATTCTAATTGTCCTTTGCAACAGGGTAACTGTTTGTTCTTCCCTCCCCTGGATGAACAGGAACACATTCTGCCTGTCTGCATTCCCCTAACCACCTGCACTTTCCTTAAATTCAACAAGCTTCTGGCTTCAAGGCCTCCGTGGAGCTGTTCCCTTGGGCCTGAATGCTCTTCCCTGCCTTTATGCCTGGACAGCACCTACTCATGCTTCAAAGAGCAGCTTCAGCATCCCCCCACTTCCAGGACTCCTCCCCTGGCTCCAGACCAGGTTGGGGCTCCCAGTTATGCACCCTGCATGTCCTGTGTGTGTGCACGCATACGTGTACATATAGGAGAGATACACTGAGACATTCTTTTCTAGTCCAGACTATGAGAGCATGTAACATCTATAACATGAGACCCGGCACCTAGCACAGTGTCAGACACATGATTATCTGTGTAATGAATGAATAAGCAAAACAAGAGATGTGCTCAAAGTGATCTGGCAGCAAGTCACTTTCTTCATGCCTTCAATGACCTTGACCCTGACACTGTTCTTCATACCAGGATTTTTAGAGACTTCTCACTTCATCCAAACACCCTAGCTGGCAATGCTACTAGTATGCAGCCACCATCAGGGAAAAGCTTTGGATTCTATGCAAAAGAGGCCCTCAGGGTTGTAACAATGTGGGGGCCTGAGCGGCAAGGGGCCCAGGGCTCAAGTCAGAGCCCTGGAGGAGACTCCTGGCTAGCTGGGTGCACCTGGGAAATTAACTCCTGGGCCTCGCTCAGCTGTTACCTGCAACACGGGGTTACTAGCACTTAGCCTGCAGGACCTGCTATGAGGAGGCAATAAGGTAGTCTCAAATACAGTCTCACCTGCACATGCTTACTGTTTCTCCTCCTCCCCTATACATACCACACACTTGCACAAACACAGACTCAGTATTAATAAAAGACAGGATGGGCAGGGCATGATGGCTCAAGCCTGTAATCCCAGCACTTTGGGAGGCCGAGACGGGCGGATCACGAGGTCAGGAGATCGAGACCATCCTGACTAACATGGTGAAACCCCATCTCTACTAAAAAAATACAAAAAACTAGCTGGGCGAGGTGGCGGGCGCCTGTAGTCCCAGCTACTCGGGAGGCTGAGGCAGGAGAATGGCGTAAACCCGGGAGGCGGAGCTTGCAGTGAGTGAGATCCAGCCACTGCACTCCAGCCCGGGCGACAGAGCAAGACTCCGTCTCAAAAAAAAAAAAGACAGGATGAACAGAGGAGGAAAAAGGTGATGTTCTACAACGCTGGAGGTGAAAGGAGGCTTGAATGGGGAAACCTCCCCAACCAACAAACCAGAGAGACGCCTCCACAACCCCATTCACCACCTCCCCAGCCCTCCCCTCCCTGGAAGGCAGAAGCCAGTAGGGAGAGAGGTGTCACTGCTTTACAGAGGTGATCATGGGGGATCCTATAACATCCAAGAGCCTTGGAAGTGGACCTGGCCAAGCGGTGGGCGGGGTGGGCTAGAAGGGTCTGGAGATCAACAGCAAGGTGTCCCCAAGCACAGGAAAAGTGGCTCTGCAGCTGCAGATGAGGCTGGCAGGCTCTCCCTCCCTCTCTGAAGATCTGACCTCTCTCAGTAGCATCGAACCCCAAAATACCCATCTGGGGCTCCTCTCCTAGTTTATCACACCGCTCCTCCCCCGAGAAGTGTCTACGCGGACAACAGGGCTCTGCTTTTCCATTCTTACGGATGGAGAACTTGGTGGCCTCAGTGTCTGTCATTTCCCACGCACCCTCCCCGTGCCTGCAGGTCTCAGTCCAAGAGCCTCACTCTGCTTCAGCCACGGTGTCCTCACAGCCTTTAGACCACAAGAGGGAACAAGACAGGTATGGGGCAGGGACCCCAAGTAGCACCAGAGAGAAGCAGGTCCCTTCCACCGACTCAGTTTTCAGCATAACATAGACAATGTGTGTGACAAATACTGAAATCACTGAAGTGTCATCAGCACATGGTAAGCGCCAGGAACCCACACTCAACTTCAGAACTGCCGCAGGACCCACAGGGAGGCTGCGTCCTGGGCTCTGCCCTATCTCCCACCACGAGGCAACCAGTAGCTTGAATGCTATGTCTCTATCTTATCACGGCTATGGGTAAAATTCAGTTTTTACACAAGTAAAAACCGAATTTTTTTTTTTACACAAGTCCATACCCCTAATAATATCCCATTTGTTTTGCATATGTGTGAGCTTAACCAGAAGCACATAATGTCTAGTCACCTGGAACTTATTTTTCACTCAATATTTTTTTCTCAGATTCCCCTGTGCTAGGAATCTACCTGGCAACGAAATTGTTGGGCTGTGGGGTCTATATGCGATCAACTTTCCAGGATAACACCAAATTGTTTTCCAGGGATTATTCTGTGTCTATCTGAGACTTTTCAAGTTTAATCGCCAGAGGCTTTTAAGGATTAATTTGGGCCACACTTGCTCCCCCACGTCTACACGTGGATGTTGACAAAGAGCCTGGGACAGCCAGGAAAGCAGCCCCGCCGCTGCTGCTGCTGCTGCTGCTGCTGCTGCTGCTGCTGCTGCTGCTGCTGCTGCTGCCGCCGCGAGGGGTCGCTCCTGGAAACCTCCTGCCTCAGCACCCTCCCAGCCCTGCCCCTGGGGAGGCAACCACTGCCCATCAGACTGGAGCACACCTGTCTGGAAGGACAGCAGGACTGGCGGGTGGTCACCAGCAAAACCTATTTCCAGGATTCCCCAGGCCCAGAGAAAAGGGAAAGTCCCTCCGGCCATCAAAGCAACATCACTGCCCCGAGACCTTACAAACACAGCCCTCTCCTGGGGGTGAGGGGTGGGGGCGGGCGGGGGCTGGGAGGCATTGCCCCAGAGCAACAGCTAGGCATTAGTAAGTCTACTAAAGAAACACATCTTCCGCCTAGAACTGGAACTCATAACTTAAGTCTAGGCCCACCCAGTAAGAGCAAAGAATGAGGACAGTCATGGAGCCACACAATTGCTAAAGACCCCTGTGTCAACCACACTCCGGGTCAGGAGTTCTCAGAGCTGCACACATCCCAAACCGCATAACTACTGACGAGGCTGCCCGGGGGTCACTCTGACCTCGAGTCTGTTTTCTCCAAAGGCCACTGGGTGCCATAAACCGATTTCCTTTATTGCCTGTATGAGGTACAAAAAGGAATGGCACTGCAAGAGCATCTATGGAGGCTGGAAGATTCCACATGGATAAGTGAACATAGGAAGAATGTCTTGGGCATTCCAGGGACACTAAGTATTGCTGGTCTGCAGAAAGGGAGCGTTCCCAGCAGCACTCCTGCAGGCTGAGCTGTCTAGAGTGGCCACTTGGAGCACTGCCTGGCTCCACAGAAGCTGTGGTCAGATGACCTGACGGTCTGTCTTCTCAGTGTCAGTTGTCAGACCGGAAGACCCCATAGCTGTTTAAGGAGGGGCTTCACTAGACGTGTTCTGGGCAAGCACCTGCTTTTAACTAGCTAAGAGATCAACTATGCACAGAAGATGTGAGGCGCAAACACACACACACAGATAAACTCTGCTTAAGGGCTTGACACCGACTGTACCCTTTGAAGAAGTGTCCCTATTAAGCAGTAAGCCTAATGCTGTTGATTCTGAACACCTTCCACTATGTTATCTGCCCTGCTATAAAAGAATCAGGGGGGGCACCTGCAAGACAAGTAGCTCACATTAAATGAGACACTCACATCCCTGGGTAGGGAGAGGGTGTCAACACATCCACAAGGTATTTTCCAAGTAGCCAGCCTTAGGAGAGGGACAGAATGAGGAGCTCCTGAGACACCCGGGGTGCCCCAGCCAGCAAAGTGCTGACAGAGCTAGACACCAGCACTGCAGAGCACAGAACGTGAGTGAGACACAACCTGGCTCAAAACATAGCCTCTTCTGAGGCACGCTACAATGTACCCAGTGTGGCATCATGGTCAGCAGCCTCTCCCCCATATGTCTGCAGCAACTCAGAACCCTCTTTTTCTAGTAGCCCCAGTGCTATCTTGATACAGCATCAATGTTGCGGCCATCCCTGCCACTGAGGATGAAGAATCAGCTGCACAGAGTCCCAAAGGAGCCTGTTCCAGGTCACATGGAGGATAAGAAAGCCATGCTGTGAGCCCAGGCAAAATATAACTGCAGAGTTCAGAATCCACGTTGCCTGCAATCAGTGGCTCTCCTCCTCCAAAACGCACGGAGACACTGATGTGTGTGTGCACGTGTGTGTACATAGGTACCACTGTGTGACTATGTACGTGTACGTGTGTACATGCACACTTTTTAGGAAGACTCCAAGTCATCTCAGGACTTTAGAGCTGGAGAACGTAAGTCTCCTGGGTCAGACACCTACCAGCGTGTCCCCTTTTATCCAAACTGGCAGATCTGTGCTGGCTTTAGGCACTGACCCTAATTCACATGGCTGTGTGCCCAGGAGAGGTGTCCTATACCCTGTGTGATTCTGATTGGTCTAAATCCTTGCAAGTGATGGATTTGGGGTAAGCATGTGACTCAGTTCTACATACTGGGATGTGAGGATGGGTAAACTATGAAGAAAATCCTGGCAAAGTTTTCTCATTCTTAAAGGAACACAAGGATGAGACACCTCCTTCCACCACAGTGTGGCCATGATACATGGAACTGTGGCAGTCATCTTGCTCCCGCCAGGGAAACCAGACAGAGGCCCAGGTCCATCAGCAGAGAACAGTTTCGCAGAGAGATGGAACTACTTCAGTCTTTGATAACATCTTTGAGAATATGAATTAAAATTAGAACTCCCTACTTCCAAACTTACTATGGTGTAAACTAATCCCTCCCCCAACCCATTTTTCTTTTTTGAGATGGGGTCTCACTATGTTATCCAGGCTGGCCTCGAACTCCTGGGCGCAAGTGATCCTCCTGCCTCAGCCTCTGCACGAGCTGGGACGACAGGTGTGCACCACTGTGCCCGACTTTAATCCATCTTCATGGCTGATTCAACCGGCTGTGTCAATTTTTGTTATTTGCAGCCTAAGGTATCCTAATAGATACACCTTCTACCAAGGTAACTATCTCACAAACCATACTGCAGGAGGGAGTTCAGAGTCTTCTAAACAAACCTAATCACACAAAATAAAAATTCATCACATTTCTCAAATGAGTGCGTTTCAATACTACCATCTCAGCCTCCCCTTCAGCCATATGGTGTGCCGACGTGAGACAGGACTGGGGCAGGGCAACTACGTTCCACATTCTCTTGGCAAAACTGCATGTATGTGATGGTAATGGAGGAATGATCTTGCTTCTATTCCGAGAACAAAATTTCTCCACAAAGTCTAATTCTGTTCCATGTGGGGTTTTGTTGTTGTTGTTTGTTTTCTGACACTACCAGGAGTCTCTGTCTCTGAAGAGCACATATCACACGCATATAGAAATCTAGTCTAAATGAGGCAACTTGCTTTCTAAAAAACAATCGTCAGCAAATGCTGCATTACTGACAATACACCACTGTGCCTCATGTTGATACATTCCACATATCCCAAACATTCTGGATAATCAACCATTCCATTCCAAGCATCTCAGGTTCCTACTGCTTCCCTGGAACTCTGCTGAGGAGCTCCGCCCACACATGACAGCACGGTTTCCATAGCAACCCATGCATTTCATAATGAGCAGGACTGGGGAGGGAAGAAAGCAAGAGCAGGGGAAAAAAGACACTGAGCCATAAGAGAACTTTTTGAAATATTCAACCAGGCATAGCTCCTAAATGCTTGTGTATGAATATTAAATCCTCAAAAGCTACACCCTTGTTTCAATATGCAAAGTCAATACCTGAATCTGGAGACTCACACACTGTTCAAATCAGCAAAACTGTAAAGCACAAAAATGGTAAGGGAAATAGAAATCGAAAATGTTTAAGCATAGTAGTATTCTCAGATGACTCAGAGTTGGTAAACCTGAAGCGTTTAATGGACTTGGTTAGCAACTCTGGGAGAACAAATATAATAAAAGTGTGCAAATCAGAAATATTTTTTAAGTGCAAGTGACACTAGCTTCTTCCTGTCAGGAGAGAAATGACCTGAATGAAGACCCGCAAGAGGAGATGGAGAATAATCAAGAGGAGAACACAGTGGCATTCCAGCCATCGACGACAGGCCCCTGGTATTGGGGCCTAGGAGCCGAACACAGCAGCTTAACCCAGTCCAAAGCATCAAGCGGGACACTCACCCTCCCAACAACAGCACCATCGCTGACTGCTCCCTCCATGCTGCAGACGTTAGTGATCTGGCAGACAGGATTAATAGACGAGGCTCCCACTAACACTTACCATCCTCAAAAATTGCTCCTATTTCAAAAGATAATTCCGAGCTGTGTTCTGCTTCACACGGATACACGGCTCGAGCCTTCCGACTGCTGACACTGAAAAGAAAGAAAACACACAAGACACCAATGAAAATGTGGAAAACAGAGAGAAACCTCACCCCCAACCCCCTTCCCCAAATCTCACTGATGTCACCAGTAGGGCAACTCCTCCCGAAAAAGAAATTAACATGGAAGTGAACATGAGGCTAAGAATAGCACTTGATTTTCAAGTAAACGATGGGTTTCAAATTCAAGCCTTTCCTCAGGGAGCCTGAGCAGCTGTCACTGAACCACTTCACCTAATTCTCCTCCCTACCTGGTGGGATGCCCTTTCCTATCATTCAGCACTGTTAGAACCACAGGACATGTTTATTTCCAAGCACTTCAGTTGGTGTGTTAGGAAAAGCACACGCACCTGGAGACACACGGCCAGCCGGCAGAATGAGGCAGCACACCCACACTCCACAGGTGGGAAACCACGAGCCCAGATCCACCCCAGGCAGCCACCGCTCTGGAAGGGGCTTGTTGCTCCTGCCTGAGTGTTCCGTATTTACACCGTGCCAGCACACCAGGCCCAGCTTCTCACCATTCGTTAAAGCAACCTCTGTGTCCGTGCGTGAAGAGGATGGAAACCATGCTTTTAGCCAGTCTAATGAAATCCGAAGGAAATGCCTCATCTCACTGGCATGGGGGAAGCCACTGACAGGAAGAAGCACCTGAGCCACCACAGGTGGAAGAGCCTGCTGGAGGCCAGCAGCTCTGTCCTCTATGGACCTGGCCACTGGATGCCATGGAAGCGAATGTTTCCAGTGCCAGCTTGCCTACCTTTAAAACAAAGAATGTGCTTTATACTCATGAACAAGAAGTTCTTCCAAAATAAGAACTTCTTCATAAATGCACAACCAGCACGACAGAGTAGGTTCAAGCAGGTCTCATGTAAGGCAAATCCTCCAAAGAATTTGCTACTGAACTGGGTGAGGCACGCCCCGATACAAGGTGGTAAGTGCTGTCCATGAAGTCTGGGATGCTGGGGGTATCTGGGTAAGCCTTTGCCAGCAGAGAACACAAGAACCTGCTCAGGTTCGTCAAGCCCCCTGTGTGTGCTGCCACCGTATTCCACATTCCACTCCAAACCACGTACCTTTCAGGTGGCTTGTCCACTACAGTAGCAGGAGGAGAAAAGAGGAAAGGGGATGACCCGGGTGAAGGAGGTGTCACAGCTGGGTTGGAGCTTGTTGTGGTTGGAGACTGTGGGTTAAGCCACTGGACCATAGATGATCGGGTCTGACCTGGGCTAAAGGTAGGAGTTTGACGGACAGGATTAATAGCAGAAAGGCCACAGAACATCAAATGCATGACATCCCAATCCCAGATGACTAGGTCGCTAATTCCCCTATCACTCCTGACCAGTAGGGACTGAGTCCTCTCTGCATCCTGCCGGGGCTGCAGCCTAAACTGTGGATAGCAACAACCCAGAAACCAGCCACAACCCCAAACTCAAGCTGTCTTACTGTCCTTCTCCGGGTTCTCCAATCTGTCCAACCTACTAGCACCCTATGAGTTCACTAATTAGAAAACCAGAATCTAATTGCTCACAGGAGTGGCGGGATATTCAAGGTATTCATTTTTTCTAATTATAAGGAAAATCACAGGAATCTAGCATCAAGTACGTGACCGGCAGCTGCAAAAGATCAGCTAAACATTTAAAGATCTTTCACCTGCTCCTACACGTATGGCCGTGCAGAATAAAATGCCACTGGATTCAGGCTTCCTCTAGAGAAGGCCAAAGACTAGAAATGAACAGCAAAAACTTCTAGTGACCAGACCATTTCTTAATATTTCCATTTTGTTTAAAGTTAATGTAAACAGGTCAGTGAACAGACACCTGGAATGGCCGCTAAGCACAGAGGGAGAGTTCACGTAGTTGATCCGTGTTGATCTGAATTATTCTTCAGCGACCTCAGAACTGGAGGTTTGTGACTATGGTATATGATGTTCCCTTGAGAAGCGTCTCATTTCATTCAGTGACATTTTGAACACACACGTGTTCCCTGTCTGCGGCACCCAGGTGCTCTTCACCTCAGATGCCCGCTGTCTTCCGCTAAACCAGTACACCAGTTTCCACGAGCAGTTTCCCGAGACCCACATTCCTCAGCACGCTTAGACTGCTTCCCCTGCCAGAGAACTGGCACTGAGTTCTTCAGCACCAGCATGGCCTCCTGGACAGCCCCCAGGTGCAATCCTCCAACACAGCGACACTCAGCAACCTAGGGCCAAGTTTACCTACCTGTCTCCCCATATCCGATGCTCTTCCACCTGCCCGCCTACCAGGGGCCACCCCGCCCCGGCAGCCTCCTGTCTGCCACAGCTCTGCTTCCTGGCACTCCCACCTCTGCCTCAAGCTTTGCCTTTCCTCTCAAGCTCCCCGCCCTCCTCTGCCTGCTCTAATCTTGCCTTTCCTTGGCTCAGCTCCAGTTCCACCTCCCCCAATACTCCTCCTGTGGCCTCTCTAACCCATACACCTTCCCTGGAGGCCTGCGACACCAATACATGAAAGGGCAAGTTGACACTGGTTGTTCTCCGATGGCTTCAAGTATTTCTACTGCCTCTGCAGGAAGATCTTTAACTCTTTTTCCAGATCTCACGAAGCCAGGCAGAGTGGCAGGGACGTGGAGCCATCAGCCAACATCTGAGCAACCAAATTAGAAAGTTCTAAAACCAAAACTGGATTTTACAAATCTGGTGCATAATTGACTTGGTAGGTATTTAATACACTGAAGCTTTCCTATGCTTTGGTCAGTAAACCAAGGGGGTCATTAAAAAAAAATTATTCTTCAAAGAGCTTATTTACAATTCCCCTGTCCAGCCATTCATCTGGGAGTCATAAAACCTATTTTATCCCAAGGCAAGATACCTTATAAATCTTAAAGTGCTCTGTATCACCGGTCACAAAAGTCACTCCTTTTTTTTTTTTTTTTTTTTTTAGCAGAAAAGGAACATTGAATGTTGTCTTACTAATCAGGAAGGGAAAGGAGAGGTAGGTGTGAGTGAAGCCCTAGCAGGGAATTAAGGTCACAGTTAGCCAAACAATTGCCAAGTTATCTCCCAGCAATTATTCAAGGTGCTTGGAGGGTGGCGGTGGAGGAAGATGAGATGTTTTGCCACACCCCCCTTCAGCTCTTCAGAGTCATAAATCGTCAATGACTGCCATCCATCTGCCTAGAGGGAGGACAGTTACAGGAAGAAGATAAAGTAACTATGTGACTATATTTATGTGGCCCTTGAAAAATAAAGAGCATAAATTTTAGAGCTATTGTCTGCTTAATCCTCACATCTTTCTTTAAAAAAGAAAACCTCCATGTGTGGTGTGGGGGGGGGCGGTGTGTGCGCGCGTGCGTGTAAAGGGAAAATACCCCTCGGTTTTTAGAAAGTGAAAGAACCACTGCAATGACAGATACAAAACAGAAAGCCCTGCCTGTCCCGCACCCTGGCTTTCTCCATCTCATCCCAAACAGGAACATAGAATCAGCAGCCCTTGTCCAGGGTCAAGTTCTCCACATTCATCTTTTCTGTTTTTGGTGATCTTTCTGTCGCTGTTTAACACACACATGTGCTATGTGATCCAGCACTAACCGGTTCACCAAGATTACCTCCCAGACTTCCCATGTAGACTTAAGTTTCTGTATGTGACGTCCTGGGTGTATCTCAGAAGCCTCTACAAGGTGACTCCTTTGATTTCAGAACCCCACATGGGCAGACACACTGTGAGCTGGAATATTCACAGGACGGAGCAACATGCGAGACTGGAGACAGTCTCTGTGGAGATGAGGCAATGAGATGTGTGGACAACTGGAAGCCTGTGAAAGAAGAGACCTGTGCAGCCAAATAAGGTTTGGGAAGCAGCAGAGCAGGTGCTTGGATAGAGGAAATTTTTCAGAGGCTTGTCGGCCAGGGAGGATCAGGGATGAGGCAAGAAGTGAGTATATATACTTAAGTCGTGTAATGAGTTCACATCTCAAGCCAGTACACATCAGATGATAGCATGTTTCATAGTGTCTCCCAAAAGCAAGCTGTCCATACTTTTTGGAAGGCCAAAAAAAAAAAAGTAAACATGAGCTTCGTTATGTAACCATCTCCTACTTTCCAAACTTTGGGTAACTTTTTAATAAGAAGATTTGAAAAATTTTTTAAATATTATTTAAAATGTAATACCCACATTTTCTCAAAAAACAGTAAAGTATTAGTTTCCAAAAAGAGTTTCTGATATTCTCTTTCCCTTCTTTTATTTAAAATATTTTGAAGGAACATAGGCATTTTGGAATGGCAGCCCATAAGCAAAGGACGAACAGCTTTTTCCTCACCCTGGGCTCCAAGAGAGAACCGAGCCCTAAGGCATATCTATCTCTCTCTTTCTCCACCTCTCTCTCTCAAAGAGTGAGCTTTACCCATCATACAAGATCCGGGTTTTCTAAGCTCCAGGTTCCTCTCTTGAGGCATGCAGGTGTGACCTGGCCCAAGCTGCATTGCCTTGTAAGAACTGGGACTCAGGGAACTGGCACAAGAGAACACTGATACTCTCATTGCTGTGATGAGTAGAGGCTGCTGGCTCCAACCGCGAGTCCCATGCCTTCTGCCAGCATCCCGGAAACGATGGTAGGCTAATTCAGTGGCTCACAAGCAGGGTAAAATTTCAGACCCTTCACAGTTCTTGACAGTATCATCATTGGGAGAACGAAAACACTCACTGGACCATTTTTTTCTACTCTGTGGTTCAGGGGAGAGCCCCACCTTTTTCCCAAAGAACATCTTTATAATAATAACATCTAAATAATAATTTATAACATCTAAATAATAATTAAAAGCTCATTATGTGCTAGAACATAATTAAATATTTTGAGAGTCCTTTCCTACCATTTCCCAAATTTAAACATTTTAAAAAATCTATTTACTGCCTTTTTTCTTGTTGTCCCTTTAACTACAGATTTTTGATTAGTAAGACCGGCATGAGCACAAACCACCAATTCTGTTTAATGCCAGCTACTGACCAAGTACAAAAAAGCACCTCAGTGCCATGAGTTTCTTGAAAGCCAAGTTGCAGTTTGCGAACATGGAGGAAGAAGTCAACTGTTCCTAAAAAGCTCAGAAACCACATTTACCAAGACAGAAATATAGAGAACTACTCATATCTGTTCGCTGTCTTCCCAACTTCACATGCTACACTGCAAAAGGCTTCTCCTAAAACAGGATTTCTCTCCATTTTCAGTATGGAAGAGCCAATGTCACCCTCCTTCCTTCTCATAGAAAGGGGACAAATAGAAACAAGAGTGTTTCACTAAAAGCAGATGAAGATTTCAAATTGCTAACTTGGAAACACATTCCTGAAAATACATAGATTCAAAGTCTACCTGACTGTTCCTGAGGCCACAGAGGCATTTCTTGTGTTTAGGTGAGGCGGGTGGAAGAGCTGGGAAGACAGTAAGCAGGGAAATATGCATTTGTGTAAAGGATGAGGAAACTCTCTTCTTTAAAAAGTCAACACTCTTGCTTGGAAACACGGGCCTGAATTTCGAGGAAAGACCTTGTAGCTTTCACATGCAGCAGTGGGGCCAAACCCCAAAACATGGAATTATGACAGTGCTGTGTATGTGGATACTTTACAAAGTGTATTTTTAGAAAATGGAACAGATCAGCAGTCCATGCTGCTTCTGATTCAAACTGTGATCCAATCTCCTCCAGTACCAGACTCTATGCTCCATGCATATTAAAAACGCTCTGGCAGCGGCAGATCACAAACATTTCAGAAAGGGGGAAGGGAATAGGGGCCTTAACTGTTAAAACTCGACACCAGCTGCACCGATCAGCAGAGAACTCCTGCATCTAACAAACATTTCTTGCATAACATAGACAGGTCAGGCTTTGGGCAGCACTAGAGGCACAAGCCCCTGATTCCAGCCTATGTTAGCACTGAGTGCCATCTGAATTCAAAAGGGTACAGCGAGGAGAATACGCACTAAGAAAAGAAATGAATGCTTATTTGAAGTGACTAAATCCCCCAAATACCAAGATATTTCACTACAATTATACAATATGAGATCAAATCAGAAGTTTGCACTGCAATGAAAGATTCTAAACTCTCAGTTGCCAGGTCTCTGAGCAGAAACTAACACATTAGTGAAATGATCTTTCATGCCAGTCTGGGAAACATACAGCATAAGTCTAGAACAGCTGTCCTGGGCAAGAGTGTTTGAAAATGTTAATAAAGACAGAAGGAAATATTGTAGATCTGTATATTAT